ATATGTGTGTGTGTGCATGCTTTTATATATATATTTATGTAAGGGAGAGATTATAGGTGTTCCAATGAGAGAAAAGTTTATACTTTTAAAGAGAAAAGTGAAGCCGCAAATGTTTTTGGTTATAATATGGATTTTTTATATATATATTTTATACCTTATTTTCCATATTTTTTGTAGTAAAGGTAAAATTAAAATTATGCCAATATATCAAACAAATGATTACTCTTACCTAGAAATACAAGAAAAAACTTCATAGACAAATTTAGACCAGTACTAAACAAATCATAACCCACATACACATAAACACACACCACACGCACATAGTGGCAAAATACACTAGTCGGAGCATACACACAAACACCATACAAAATACATATAGTTACTGTATAGATTTCTTTATAATAATATAATACATAGTATATATGTATGGAGAACAGATATATACTCACATACTGGCAAAAACAAATACACTAGACAGACCCCATGAACATACACACATACAAACCCTACACACCATACAAAGAGTATATGTATATATATTATCACTTTGTAATAAAAAAATATATATGTATGGAGAAGGAATATGTATACACATTCTCATAAATACACACACACAATGCACAAAAATGGAGAAATGTTTAAAAAGATATAGATGACATAAAAAGATAAGAAGAATGACCTCCTTCCACCTAATTGCTCTGACCAATCCCAATTGTTTTATTACCCCTTAGGCATAGGAATATTTTTTCGGCAGTCCAAGAAGAATTTGGATTACTACCACACACAAAAGACAATCGTTAAACATAAGAAAATATAAGAAAAAATTAATTCCTTTGAATTATATGTGGAAATAACCATTCTTCACCTGATGAAGGTCACAAGACCCAAAATACGTGTAGCATAAAATATAAGGAAAATAAAGTATAATATATAAAAAAAAAATCCACATTATAACTAAAAATGTTTGCAGCTTCTTTTTTCTCTTTAATAGCTGGCCACTTGTATTCGAGGATACCCGTCTACTAGGGGGGCTAGCCAATCCCTAATTCAGATGCTTGCCCAGTCACATGTTTGTTCAACATTCACAGATCCCACCTGTGGTTTATACTGCAACTATGTAGAGCAGACCTTAGTTACAGTTTTGGGGAGAGAGCATGTTATCTAGCGTGATCAACAATCTGAACAAGGCCAGCACACTTAAACCCTAGGTCACGATGACTTGTGACTTCATGCTAGCACAGCTATTGACAGTCCCCCAAGTGTTCTGTCTACCCAATTTCACTCACAAGGCTTGGGTCAACCCGTGGCATGGTTTTCAGGCACTTTCCAAAGGTGCCGCATGCTGGGATCACCTCCACCGAATCGATAACATCAGGAAGTTTCCTTCCTGACAAATCAACCATGGCGAGATTCAAACCTGGGTCTCATGGTCAGGTGAACATTTTAACCACTCGGCCATGCATCTATATATATATTTTTTCTACTGGTAACAGAGGACATTTTTTTTTCAAGACAAGCAGGCTCTCCTTAGAATTTATATTTATTTAGTGGATTGGCACAATAAAATCGACCGTTCAGTGGACACTGAAGTCATGTATTAGAAAAGTAAATTACATAGTTCATGGACAATTCGTAGTAAATCTTTTTTTCTCAAATTTCATTTTTGCTCATTGAACTTACATATTGCTTTATCAAGCTGCATCCTACTTATATTGTAGATAAACCGTTTTGCAATTGTCCCATTACTCGCCAGGCAATTAGATAGATAGATAGATAGATAGATAGATAGATAGATAGATAGATAGATAGATAGAATTTGTATAACTTTTATTTGTAACTTTTGGTTGCATAGAGTCATCTCCCTTATGCCTTTCTCACGAAAGTGGCACACTGTCCTCCTGTGAAAAGGCCGACTCCGCGAAAGATAAAACTAAAAGTATAACAATAATTTAAAAAAGAAAGAAAAGAAACTTCTTATGCCATTATTTTTAACAATGGGTAAAATAGTAAATGCGTGGTTGCTCTAAAATTTTAGGCCCAACACACTTTCAAATAATTTTTTAAGGACTTGTTGAGGAGACGAGAACTTTTCAGCACCGCTTCGTGCTTATAGCATAGCAAGTCTACGTAAGTAAATATAATAAAAACTAAAAACTAAGAACTAAAATTATTAAAATAAAAAAAATTAAATACAGGTATAGTTTTTTTTTCGTTTTTTTTTTTTCTTCTTTTTTTGGTGTTGCATGCAGTTGAAGAAGTGACGCCCTTGATTTTTAAAGTAAAGCTTAAACACTAGTCAGTACTCAATATAGGAAGATTTTATTGCGCCAATCCACTTGACTAAATAAATATAAATTCTCAGGAGAGCCTGCTTGCATTGAAAAAAAAAAATTGACCTCTGTCGCCAGTAGAAAATATAGTACACTATTTTAATTTTTAACCATAAAGCAAGTCAAGTACAAGATAAAAAAAAAAAAAAAAAACTCAGCAAATCCAATCAGTTCACCAAATCAAAGTAACATTATTATTTATCATTAATATTATTATTTTACTTTTCTTTTAATTAAAATAAATGATTAAAAATGATTTTGCTAAATATTTTAATTAATTAGCTTCTTTTTTTACTAATTGAAAAAATATTACTATAAAATTTTACGAATTATTCCAACGAAAAATCCAATATATATTGTTTAATAATTTTTCTTTTATAACAAAAGTTTTTTCTTTTCTTATAATTTCTACCTAATCCGAGAAGAAATAACATAAAAATCTATAAAACAAATAAGTTTTCTACGACTCGCATCTTTACATTCATTACAACCTACTTTTTTTTTTGTTTACATCGAAGTCGAGGCAAACATTCAGGTGTGAATAGTATTGTCGCACCTGTCGTTTTGTGCTCCGATTGGCCATCCATAGGGCGTAGGAAAACGCAAGTCAAAAGGCCGCGCGATCTCCAGGTAAACAGAGGGGGAAGCAACATGGCGGAAGCAGATGAATCGTTTGAAAATAATGATAATTATCAATTGAGTGACTTTATTAACGACTTCGATTTACCACAAACTGTTGTTATTGTTGATCCTGGTAGTGAAAATCCTATTCCTGATGTGACGTCTGGATCTACTATTGAATTGATAAACTTAGCTGTTCAAAGTGTTTTGTTGACACCTTGCAAGGCTGATGAGGAACTCAGAACAGGTGATGGACCACCACCAACTCCCCGTAAGGACAACGACACGATGGAAGTGTCCATAGATTACCCAGCCAAATATATAGTACTTCCACCACCTCATGAAGGTACTACTAATGGCGACAAAGAGTCCCCTGTTATTTATCAAACAGTGAAAGACCTGTTGAAAGTGTGCCCGCCTACATTCAAAGCAAACAGAACGTCGACTGCCCCTGCGATTTCTACTGATTTAATCGACGTTGTGGAGAACCCTAAAATTTGCTTCGAATGTGGAGATATATTCAAGTTTCGACGGATCGTTCGTGAAGGTAAATTTGGCAAATATTTACAATGTCGACACGAAAATGGGAATGTCATGGAGTTGCCCCTTTCGTGTCGAGGAAACTTTTCTTTTGTAGTCGACACAGATTCTACGTACACGGTTTGGGATCTTGTGCAGGCTAGTTTAATGCCTAGATATCTTTGGCAAGCTGATGATACAGATCATCGTAACTTCCATGAGAGTGTTATTCGAGTGGGGACCGACCACGATTTCACCACAACCACTGAACGAAACGATAACAATGAGTGCCAAGAAACCGTCGAAAACAAAACAGAGGAAACTACCTATAGAAGTTTAAACGAATCTGCATATTCGGATTTTCCGACACGGCGCCAGAGTCAAGGTCGTACCAGTCTTCATTCTGCCCAGATTTCTGGACGAGACATCCTTTACATGGACATACCAAATATATACATCGAAGCTCGAGTGATTAAGGATCCTTCGAAAAGTAACTTTTTTAACGACTCCGATGACAAATGGTTATTGCCTTTGGATTCAGATATGATTATCCGTTGTTTTTCAGTGCCCATTTATGAACAGCCGTCTAAATACAAGGCCCGCCGGACATTATGGGAAATTGCATCAGACCATTCTCAACCGCCAGTGTTTTTTCCGTTATGTGCACAAATAGTCTCATATCCTGATATACCATCAGAATTTACCTGCAGCATATCGTCACATTCTAATGTGATTCTTCGACGTGTAGAATACGTAGACAAAATTCTAGCCCGGACTGAAAATGAACGTTTTTTTATTCTGGGCCCTAACTTGCGCCAAACTTTTTGCAGCCTTCCAAGAACGTTCACTTGTGTCTCAGATCTTTACAGCTGCAAACCTGGAACAGAATTACGTGTGATGGAAGACGTCGCGACAGATTTTCCTCGAACTATTTCTCTAAAAGCGGGTGACATTATTCGCGTACCTAAATTCCAGACTCACATTACAAAGACTGGCCGACGAGGTTCTCAGATGGAATGTCGGGTTCTAAAGTGTCAGAAACTTAACTCAAAAGGTGATTACGAAAAATTGAAGTTACCCGTTGACTTGGATTTAATACTCGTGGAATTAATTGCGGATGAAGATAGAGAAATATGGCACGTCAATGAACTATTTGACTATTTACCCACTTTACCAATGAATGTTGAAGCTGGTGACCTTTTCCCTTCAGTGCCTTGCGATGCAGTATTGACTCTAGACTGTTACGTTCGTGATTCTGTTATTATAATGTCTAGTTTTCAAGGTAGTAAGTCAGACATGACTTTCAACAGCCGTGTATGTCTTGAAGTGCCCACCAGACATAAGGTGGTACTGGATTTATACGAAAATATTCCTTTGTCGGATTTTTCAAATAGCTTTACATCATCACCAATCGAACGAGTGTCTTTGGACATTGAGGAAATATTCCACAAAACATATACATATATGGAAACGTATTTTAGACATTCATACAGTATTGACAACAACATCTTCCGAAAATCCGATTCACAAATGTTACCTCATTATCTTTCATCCAGGTAAAGAAGTTATTTATTTTTAGAAATACACTTGTTTGTATTTTTTTTTTTTTTTTTTACATTTTCATAAAAAAATGCGTTCAATAATTGACTTTTTGTAACTAATAAAAAAAATCTGTTGCTTATCTTGAAGACGTTAAGGTTACATAGAATTGTTTAGGTTCAGAGCATAAAGATGTCAGCTGTTTACTTTTAAATTGCAAGGGAAAAGATTTGTTAAAGAAAATAAAATGTAAGTAAAAAAGAAATTACATTTTAAAGAATTTATGATAAATTTTGACAAGTACATTAGTGAGTTAGTGTTACCAGTTTCTTTAATCCAGTACAAAATTATTAACTTATTCAGAAAATTTACAGTTGAGTTATTCAATTTGGGGGTTACTGCAGTGCATACAGTTATTCATTTCTGTGGATTAGATTACCTTACACAAACATGGTGAAATTTGTATATAAGAGACCCGGATATAAGAGAAATTTTCTCTGGTCCCAAATTAGAGCCTGTGTTAATGTCTATAAAATAGACCAAACCCGGATATAAGAGAATTCTTCTCCGGTCCCGACAACTCTCTTATATCCGGGTTACACTGTACTTCATTTAACTTAATTTTAAAATAACTATATGAGACAATTTATAAAAAATATTGACTTTACACTGCCTCAGGTTGCCTTTCAACATAACTATTTAAATTAATGAAGTTTACATTGTTTGTAAAGAAAGCATAATCACTTCTTAAAGCTAACCATCTTACAGGTACACACACATTTTTGTCACAAAATTTTGTGTGTTGTCCACCAGAGGAATTTTAAGAACAAAATGCGGGTAGATCTAAAAACTATACCTGTAAGAATTAATTATATACTTGATTGACAAATAAGAAAGCTTTTCTTGAATTATTACCTTAAATTTCGATATTCCAAATACAATAAAATAACTAATCATTTTAAAATACAGGGTGCAGCAGAAATACCTCCTGCATAACGGTAAGACATTTTAGTGCCAGTGGCGTTTTCACCTAGCTAATAATGTCTTACCATTATGTGGGAGGTTTTTCTGCCGCACCCTGTAGTGTAATAAAATCAACTGTTTGTTAATAAAATATTGATTACATAGTGTCACAGTGTACTGAATATCAAAGGTATGTTTTGTTTAGTCTTCTATTTTCTCCTCTAATTTAGTATTTCTGACTAGTTTTGTCAAGAATGGCTGAAATTTGGAAAAGAAACACTTGTAGATAATCAATATTGGGCAACAAAGACAAAAAAAAGTATCATTGATTTTATGAATATTCTGGTATTGAAATAGTGATATAAATTGTCCTGATGATGATGTGGATAAAATTTGAAATATCTGTACTTATTAATATAATTATTATAATATAATACATATTTTTAATGTTTTTAAGTGGTATATTATTATTTTATTTAACCTTTTTACATCATCTGTATTTATTCTGTATATAGGTATTTCTTTAGATGAAAATATTCATTATTGATGTTGATATTTAAGTATTATAGAAGTTTAAGATTTTACAAGCCTATATATCTACTAATTTCCAGGTATGTTTGTATATATTTCCTTTTTAGCTGACACCAACTGAGTTTTAAAAAAGGTTGAGTTTACTAATGAATTTTTATGCTTAAAATTTAATCAGTCCTTTTATCTGATTTATAATTAATAACATTAGAGTGGTTAAGTGCAGATAAATAAATTTACCTTACTAAATAGAATGAAAGTTATGACAACTTTCTTTTCTAAAGAGTAAAGTCAATCTGTCTTTTGGTAGTTTGTCAGTGTTATTTGACTACTGTAGAAAGATACCTGCCAATTTAAACCATAATATAGTCATTGTGAAGCTTTGTAAAAGTCTTAAAATTTATGATTACAGAACTTGATTGAAGCAGTGTCTACTTTTTGTTTCAGGATTCTGCTTTTGATAGTTTCATCTTCTTTGAAATGAAAGTAGTAGTAGTATTTGACCTACATTGGTTAAAAATATCTTACTTTTTGTGTCAATTTGGGAAGATTAACACAAGGAAAAATAACATAAAGCACAAAGGAAACTTAATTTTAATTGACTAACTTGTAAAGAAAAGTTCATTTTAAAGAAACATAATTATTAAAATTTAAATATAGAAAGTAATTTTGACCTTTCATTTACTTGTCCTTCTTACAGCTTATATTTGTTTGTGTTAGAAGGTTCATTAATTTAAAAAAAAAACAAAATAACAATGTCAAAGCCAACAGCTCATTGCAAATTTTTTAGTTCCAAATTTTCAATGTTTGCTCGAGTTGTCGAAGAATTTACTCACCAAGAATATTTTGGTACAAAGCAACAAAATTAATAAGATAGAATACAACCAGTAATAAAGTAATAATACTAATAATAAGTACTGATTTAAAATTCTTGTTCCAAAAATGTATGCTTTGAAATGAATATCATAAAAATATGAAAGAATGATATCTTTGCATTATTTTGCAATTTAGTCTGGCATAGAATATATGCAAAAACTTACAGATCTGTTTATTTGGTTAGAGTTAAATTTAAATATTAAACATTAAGAATATATTTAAAAAATTGTCAGTTTCCAAAAAACTGTCTAGACTGTCAGAAAATAAAATAACCCCATTTAAATTAACAAAATTTCTAAATATGAATGTTACATGGTGCAAACATAAAAACTCCAAAAGTATATATGAAAACATTTTTTGAGGGAGCCATATAATTTATGTATTTTTCATTGCTCCTGCTGAGTTTGTGGATGTGTACAGGGTGGAATGGATAAAATATCATTTATATGACACAAAAATGAAAATAACACTGACATCTCATTTTAACAGATATAATTACCAAAATTACACCAAAATATCTTGAAATACTAAACAGTAAATTTATTCAATAAAATCACCATTGACTTCAACCACAGCCTACAAATGACTTTGGAATCTTGTGTAACTCTTCTGGACAATTTGATTGTTTAAGTTGGTGAATGCTGCCATAGTCCTTGCTTTCAGTTCATCTTTGGTATTACAAGTAGTTTTGTTGCTCTTTTGCTAAACTATGCCCCACATATAATAATCAACGGGATTGCGGACTGGGGAGTTAGGTGGCCAGATGTACCAGGTGATGTTGTTGCAGAAATTGTCTGACAGCCATGACTGGATTCTCCTGCTTGTGTAGCATGGTGCAGAGTTCTTTTGCCAGACATAGGTCTTCCAGCAGCCACCCTCTTGACTCAGGGCAGCACTATCTCCTCAAGACACTTGATATAGGCCTCTATGTTGAGTCTGAGACCCTATAGGAAAATTAATGGAGGCATAATGTTGCCATCACTAGTGATCATGCCAAACACCTTCATAATCACCATTAGACTCTCATCCAGATTTTTCCAAATCCTCTGCACTGTCCTCAGATTGGCACCCAAACACTCTGAAATGTTTGTATTGGAGCTTCTGGCATGAATACCAAGCAGTGCAGCATGTTGCTTCCAAATTTTTGATGGAGTGAATTGTGTCATGGTGCTCTTTTTTTAACAGATGGTTCCTAAATGACCCTACTATACTGTGCAGTCAGCAAAATCAAAAACAAGCAACAAACATGAGCAAAATTAAAACCATAAAATTCCCAAACGTTTTATGTAGCACATCACATATACTCCCACATCTGAAATAGACAGGCATAGCCAGCTATGTTATCAACCTGGGGAGGTAATCCTAGCATGTATAAATATTGCACCCGGTGTGTGTGTGTGTGTGTGTGTGTGTGTGTGTGTGTGTGTGTGTGTGTATATTTACGATAACATAGCTGGCTATACTTGTCTATTTCAGATGTGGGAGTATATGTGATGTGCTACATAAAAAGTTTGGGAATTTTAACTATATGCCCAATCAAAATGTAGTCTGGTTTTTGTTCCTACCATTAATAAGATCAAAATGACTACTTTGATGAAGATAATGGAAACTAGTAATATGTATTTTTTTTTTTCATGGTCAATTTCTCCATACTTTTGGGAAGAATTTTATATATATATATATATATATATATATATATATATATATATATATTATTCTTGAGTTGTGTTCTTAAATAGCCTTGTCAGATATCGACTCATATAGTGCCCAATCTATGTAGAAATATATATAATTTTTAACTGTATACAGCTACTTTCTCAGATAAATGATTAAAAATGACTTTGAGCAAATGAATCCTGTAGATTTTAGGGAGGACAGACCTTCTCCAAACTTTGTGAATTGGTGCTACAGAACCACAAAAAAAATGGACAGCACATGTAACTCAAAGAGAAAATGCTATACTGTATATATTTGAAGGTAGTCAGTTTTTATGATCAGTTTTTATGTAAAATATAGGTGATTGCATTATACACAGGTAATTTTTTGAAAATGTTAAAAATCATGCATTTTCAGTGATTGGTTGCACTATACACAGGTAATTTTTTTCTTGAGTTAAAATCCATACAAAAAATTTAGGGGTCACATTATACATGAAGTCATCTTATACACAAGCATATACAGTAATCAAGTTGTTGATTTTCCATACTACTTCAAACAACAGGTTATGGAAAGCAGAGGAGTGAATGATCATGAGCAAATAAACACCAGCTAAGTTGCGTGGAACCATACACATCATCATGATACTAGTGACAAACCAGCCACACATTAACATTATTGGTTGCCGTTGACCAGGATTGACTCTTGGGGTTACAACAGCATCAGATAGCTTTATGTACTGAAAAATTCAGAGACATTCAAAATATGACAGAGTTATTAAAGGCAGTTCTAAGTTTGGATTAAGGATAAGTTCTAATAAATCAAAAATCCAAAAGACTGAGAACTTAGATAATGACATTATAGTGTTAGAAGGATGCTTCATTGACACCTAGTCTTGGGTATGATGATAAACTACATCTGAGAGGTTTTGAGAAGTATGGAGCCACCTCTAAAATTGCTATTGTTCCCAGGTCCTCCCTGGCAATGGGTGGTA